TTGAAAGTAACGACACTGATTATGAGAAGCGCTTGAGCAGCATCCCTGGGGTCTTTGCAATTTACAAGCTGGCAATGACATGCGGACGATGCTATTGTTTACCGCAACCCAAAAGGGAGTTGTGCTGTTTACAGGCAAAAAAGTTTTGGGTTATGATTGATTATTTTGTTGTGTTTCAGCATGTATGTCTCAATATTGCTAGTGCTGACCTCCAAGATGAGCTATGGGGTTTGCCTTCTCCCTTGGTGAAGAAAAGTATTTGTGTTAAGGAAACTGCTTAAAAAATGTGTAGGCTATCATAAAAAAGGAAAATTAGCTCTAAATACCATTGAGACTACGCTGATGTAAGTTTATGAGATCATTCTGATATGTCAACATTTCCAGCATACGTAGCTTTGATGCTTAAAGAAATAGTTTGACATTTTGGGAAATGTACTTACTCACTTTCTCACTCAGAGTGAGATGAGAGGATCAATATCATACAGTAAATATGAAGCCAGAGAATAACTTACCATGCTTTATTTTCTATGTTACTCTAAATGGTGCCCTAATATAGAAAAAGGAATGTCATGCTGTATTGAAGACCTGAAACTAGTCACACATTGAATGACCTTTCCTTTTTCTCAGCTAGAATATATGTTGGTATTTCTATGGGTCTTTCTCAGAATAATGAAATCTTGCAGTAAATTAATGCATTTATTATTTGAAGACTTCTCATCAATATGTAAATATCCTTCCAGTCTTTGCATTTACTTGACTGTACTTTAAAGATTCAGTTTAACTTGCTTTGTATCAAGCCAAGCATTATAGTAGCTTAATAAGACTGGCAAATATTTATTTGATATTGTGATATTATTATATAAAAACACTTAATTCTATATATTTAAAGTTTTTATGACCCTCAACTCAAACTTCTCTTGGACTTTCTAACAAAGGATACAATGAAGACTTAGACCTTAATGAGTCTATTACAATTTTAAAAAAAACCTGGATGAAAACACCTTTCTTGACTGTGATCAATCTGTTTTCTTCTAAAATGGTTTCTAAGCAAAGATAAAGGAATCACGGGTCTAAAAAGCACCAGCTGTTGTTGTTTTGATGTGGTTTTTTATGTTTGCTTTCATGCTTCTGTTTGTTCTTCATTGCCATTCAACTTTCAGCTATGCGTCTAAAGATTGTCTGGTGTATAGAGACATACCATTAAGCATGATGGAAGTAGAATATCGCAGATTGGTGATACATGGTGGATTAGTCCTTTATGCTGGAGGTAAAGCTATGGAAGAGCTGAAGAATGCGGCAGATGACAGATGTTGGTGGGTGGCACACGCAGGTCTCGTGGCAGTAGGCAGAACACATTCAGGCATAAAAATGCAGGGATAATTTCTGCCCTGAGTGGTGCTAGTATGAATATGAATGAAAATATGAAGCTTCCTGGGGTCGTGATTCATTTTCAGCCACAACAGTCTCCACAGTGTGAACAACAGGATTATTTATGATTGACAGAATTCAAATGTGTCTTCTGAATTCAAGCAGTAAAACAGGATTAAGACGCAGTTTTGTGGCCATCTGAGCATATGACATGATGTTTTAATTAAGCAAACCTGCCTCTTAAAGTTATGTTTACAATGTTTAGTCTCTTGGCTCACATAAACACCTGATGTTTTAATATTGGGTTGTGCATATTTCAGAATCCCTTAATTACACTGCAGTATAGTGCATTTAAAACAATCTAAAAGCTGCAATCTTCCTATTAGATTATCATATAGTGTATGGAAATTTGACAGTGGCCGATGCAAAGGTTGTAGCTGTGGGAGAACGTGAATTTTCTGCCAATCTTCCTATTAGATTTAGATTTTCCTTTGCATATTTTGCCACTAGAGGAAAGATCAAGAGGTAACATTATGATTCATACTCTGGATCATGAGTATCCACAGCAAATTTGATGAACAATCTTCCCTTCAAAGTTGTGCTAGAGTCAAGGTCAAAGGGTTATTGGGTTCATTATGTATCAGCCACTGGAGATCAGATTTCATGTGGGAGTCTGCTCAGTAGTTATGTTTTGAAACATAATCGTCAAACTTACCCAGTACCTTATACAGTCAGGCTGCATACAGTTCTCTTTACTGTAGCCTGTTGTCTGTATAGAGTGCACTCGATGCTGTGCAGAGGAAGCTAGTTGTGATTGAGATATGGTAAAATGCAGCACAAACAGGCATCCTCCAGCTTAATGAGCCATCCTTGCTGTAGACAGAACGCCCACTCTAACATAAAGAACAAAATGTTTCAGTATTAAGAACAGAAACAAAAACACACAATCACACACTCAGTAAGTGCTCATACTGTACAGTAGCTCCCCGGCAGGGAAATGTGGTGCTGGTTTCTAAAACAAGAAAAAGATTTCAGAGCTTGTCTAAACTGGGATCATCTCAGTTGCTATAGCAATGGTGGAAGACGACCACATACTGTCTGAGAGTTTATGTCTGGCACTGACAAAATTTAGTGGCAAACCTCAGGTGACACACATACAGTGGAATACAGGTTTGCAGTGCCCTAAAAACAGAACAAATTTAGGATAAACAAGGTTATTTTCTAATGACTCCACAGTTCTGAATGTACCTTGCTTGGCATACACCCACTTTGTCCTTGTGTGACTCCTTCTCGAGCACACACACAAACACATTTGTCCCACTTGACACATCCCCTCCTGCTCGTACCCCTCTCTCTCCTCTCTACTCTGGCATTCTTTTCCACTCTTTTCCTTTGTCTTCCCGGCTCTCCAGCTGCGATCAGACACTATTTCACACAACGCCTGAGTCTAGATCTGAAGGAGAGCGAGGAACATCCCTTCACAGTCAGCCCCTGCTGAGATCACTATCACTATCCGAGTTTCCGACTTTTCGAATCTTCGGCTGAATTTCCAGCGTCACGCCTGCAGCTGTTTTGCAAAATATATCAGGGACAGAAGAATAGTTCATGGTGCATCTGACGGTTTCAGAGTGATTCATCTCTAGGTGCAGAGGCAGGAAGCTGAGGTGACGCAGGAGGTTTAATACTGTACAGTATGTTCCCTGTGGTGTTAAAATTAGCAGAAAATAATGTTACTCTGCAGTCTGCAACTTAGAAAACTTAAAAATACCTCTGTTCTTTGTTTACTATTCATTCAAGCTGCAGAATGCTTTGCCTGTACTTGTTAGCCCACTTGCACAGCTGAATATCCTTTAAAGAAACCCACATTAGGTGGTTTATGTAAAGACACAGCAGCTGCATCTTTTTATTGTTCACCAGCGAGACCGAAATGTTCAGTAATTACATCCCTGTGTCCCCATATTCAACTGTGAGAGAGTTTTTGGAAAACATACAGTATTTCAAGTATTACCAGGCAGACCTTGATGGTTGTGAGCTCCATGCACAGACAGACGTTTGAGCTGAACACTCGCTGTCCAAGATTAAAAGCTACATACAAATTTTAGGATTGACTTGTTTCATTAAAATTATCTTTAAAATGTTAAACAATTCAGCTAAACCTGGAGTGCGTACTGCAAGAGCTCTTGAATTATTTATTTTTCTCCAAGTTCACTTTGATTCATACACCCCGGAGAAGCTACAAGGATTTGACAGCCTGTTTTTTCTATCACACATTTCATGCTGTGATAACATCAACTTGAAAGTATGAGTGGGGGTTGTTTTCGGAAGTTTCAGCTGGCACTTACTAGAAATGTTGTCATATTTGTCCAAGAGGTACATCATAGAGATCATGGTGAAAACTGGGAATTGACAGTGCTCACATGATTCAGCACAGAAAATGGAGTCTCCATCAACCACACGGCCACCTCATGTTGCCGACATTAGCCCTTGCTGAGAGAGCATAGCCGAGGACGATTTAACACTTGATCTCATGGAGACAGCTGCATCCAGGGAGAGATCACTTACCTACTGAAGGCTTACCATCCAGATTCCTCCAGTCCTGGGAATCAATTTGGTTTAGCCAGCGGTCTTTTAAAAAGCTGCAGCTAAGGAATAATCCAGCATTGCTGAACCTTCACAGGGATGGGGTCAGTTTAGTCCAATTGGAAAATATATGTATATATCTTTTATACAAGCCATCTAGATAGTTATGTAGATATCTGCGATTTATCTGTCAATTATCCTTAGAAACGAATTGTTGCTGTCGAGTAACATGTCCATTTTTGATGCTTTAACCAGAAAATTGTAGATACCACAAGGGAGAAATGTGTGTGTTTTTCTAATTTGGGTGACCTGACACATTGTGTGTAGTCTAGTGTATCCTACTTTAAATGCCTCCACCTTTTGGCTCAGCAAGCTCTGAGTTCAGCATCGTCCATCTTCTCAGCTGAGCGTTGGGGCTAACACAATTAGGACTCTTACCCTGCCACTATAGGCTGCTGTAGCCCTTTAATGGCAGAGAACAGGCTATCACAAAGGACAAGCTTCCACTCACTACACTAACCCTGTGTGTCATGGCTGACCTATCCTTTCTCTTGCACTGTCTGAACTGATTAGCTTTCCTCAGTGGCAGATACACCACAGCTTACCACCACTGTCTAAACTCTGTCTGATAACAACTTGAGCAAACTCCTCCACATTGACACAACAGCTGAGTATGAAGGGGCGGTGAGCAGATAACTGTTCTCATCTTCAGTCCCATATTCTAACTGCCCTTGAACTCATTTGCTCTTTGGGGGCAGCAGATAACTCCTATCTCCAGATGTGTTAATTGGGCTTTCAGAAGGAAGCCGGCATATTAAAATAGTCTGGGGGCTCGCTGGTGAACCAGACCAAAGCCTCGGGAAATCACATGTGATTCAAGCTGACCTTCATCTAATGTGCAGTATGGGGACCATGCAAAGCTGGGCTGAATTAGCTTTGCCTACGCTGGCAGAAAAAAATACCACCACAGTATTTTTAACTACCCACAGAAATACCTTGGAGCCATAAGATGTGGTGCATAAATTTATTTCAACATATATTAACATTTTGTTGATTCTTTTTTTTTGTTTTGCTTTGTTAAAGACACAATACATTCAGTATTTACATGAGATTCTACAACAACACTTGCTGGCAGAAAACAGTCTGATCATTGGATCAGAATAAATTGGATCAACGGAAGGCTACTCTCTAGAGCTTCAATGAAACTTGATATAAATTGACACATCATCATTAAACTTGACAATTCCTGTCATAACAGTCCATGAGAAACAACATTGCACATTGAAACGACTGATAATAGTGTAAAGATGCTGATGACAATGATGTCTAACAAAGCCACAGCTGCCCACATCAGAACACTGTCTTACTCATCAAGTTGGAGGCTACATGTATACATAAATTATAAACAATAAATAAAGTAATATTATAAAGAATAATAATATACTATTATAAAGGAGTCATGTCATGTTGCGTTAGTTCACATTATGTTGCACTGGGTTATGATTGGCTCATGTTATTATGCGTTTTGCCGTATATAACGGAGCGTTGCATGAAGTTACATTATGTTGCATGAAGTTACATTGAATTGCATTATGTTGAGTTGTGTTACTTTATATTACCTTGTGCACACCATCAGTCAAATCCTTGTCTTTTTCTACTATTTAGATCCTACATTATCCCACAGGCAGAATAGCAAGATATAGGGCAGAGCTAATTCACATTCCACTACAATCTAATGATGGATTACCTTTTGACAGATCCTATGAGACATACAATACATCCCTTTGACAAGTCTTCAGCCTCAATCAGGTCACCTTTGCAGAGTCAAGAGTGAGGATAGAGAGAGACAAGGGAAATGATAGGGACCATCAACAGCTTCGATTATGCCTGATGAGACTGGATAAAGACTTTGGTCTGTGAACAGGCTCATAAAAAAAGGGGAAATGTGTATCTGCCGAAATGTGTTATCGAGTATAATAAGCTAGGCAACTGTCAAGAGGAGCTGTGGGTGACTGGGAGGGGGGTTGGTGACCAGTTGTTTCATTTGGGCTCAATTAGACTTGATTTTCAAGAAGAGGACAGAAGCCGCACCAGAGGAGCACTGGCACTGTCACTATAGCGACAGAGCTGATGGGCTGTCATGGGAGGAGTGGGGAAATAAGGAAAGTGAAAAGAAGAACACATTCATGCACACACACACACAGACACACCTGACTGACATAACAGTAACGCAATTCAAGCAAGAAAAATAATGGTAATGAGCACGCATTGAAGCATTCACACTGAACATACTGAGCTTTTTAGACGCTTTAATAATTAGCAGTATATCTTTGGAAGCTGTGCGCCAGTCAGGATCAATCATCAGCTCTCAGAACAGCAATGGCTGACACAGAGGTCATCCCTCCAGACAATAAACACCTGGGCTCTGCTATTTGACTGATACAGTTGGATGAACTCCCAGAGAGAGGCAGGAAGATTTAATAAAAGGTGAGCATAGGGAGTGAAGCAACATATTCTGAGCAGTCGGCCTTGTGTTGCATCTTGATAATTAAATATCTGAACACCTTTTGTGATGCTGGGAAATTAATTTGTTTGGTGTCGACCAGCCCTCAGTCGCTTTAACGGATTGAATGAAGACAGAATGGGCTGTGCTCATAGACAACCAGGAAGCATGATGATTTTACACAGGAAATGGATGTTGCTCAAGGTTATGGTGACAGGAAAATACAGAAATGAGTGATGTCTATTCACCAATTTGTGTGTCATACCTGGGACAAGAAAACTTGAATGAAACCTAAAACAATAAAAGAAAAAAGAGAACAGCAGCTGCTACTATGTTATACTTTGTGACAGACTCTAGATCATATTTCTATATAATTAATTTGTTGTGATATACTGTACATTCTGTCATATTTTGTTGCTACATACAGTGCATTGCCCCGACAGTAACTGTAAAACCCTAAAACCCCTTTCCCTTTCGTAGAAAATTTGTACCGCTACATAGTTGAACTACCTGATTTTACGATGCACTCCTAGAAATATCAAATTATTTACAATATAGTTTTCACTAAGAGTTCTCCTCCTTTACAAAAGTCTTGTGCTTTAGCATTGAAACACACACATCCAAACAAACACAGCAGGTAGAAAAGAAACAATAAAAAGACATTTCTTCTCCTCTTCTTTGTTCACCACCTTTTTCACTCAGAAAATGTACAATCCCTGTGTTCTATTGTGTTACGTTGGAAATGAATCTCGTTGAGACAATTTCAAAAGTGGCAGATGTGTCTTCCAGCTATTCATTAGATTTCCATTAATAATAAAACAGGAAGTGACCCACTGAAGTGTCCTGAGGTGATGCCTATCACTGACAAGCTGTCTCTAAGTCTAGACACCTACATGAAAAGACATCTCATACAAACTGCTACATTAAGATTTCTTGTTTTTTTCTTTATAACACTTTCTTTTGAAAAAGTCTAGGACAAATTTTATGCACTGGAAGTTGGCAGATGGTCTGAGAAATGGCGGTCAAATGCAGTTGCGGAGATTGCCCTCGGATCACTGGCCTTCGAATGAACAGCATCAACTGATCAGATGAAGTTTTGGCCTCCCCGGAGCTTATAATTCTGAGATAAATAAACACTATCAAAGAGGCATAACATAAAAACAAGTAGGGAGACACAGAGTGATGAGTGAGAAAAGACAGAATCAGTTTTTATGGAGTATCTAATTATCGAATCATTAGCACCACCACAGTGTATGGGCAGAAAACACAAATGTCTGGATGGCAGAATGAGCTGCTGAGAGGAGCAACATCAGCGGACTCTTAAACACTGCCTGCATGGCTTCTCAGCTTGGGAAGCAGTCTTTGGTCACAAATCAAAACCTAAACGGCATGTGCCCGTGATAAGCTGTCCAAGTGTGTACCGCTGATTGATGATGTCCATTTCCACAGCCGGGGATGTGATCCTGAGCTTCTCTTTCATGGTTAAAGTACCTCTCCTTTTTCACTAGAGTCTCTGTGGTAGTCATTAACACCTCTTCACAGCTTGTTAGTACTGTGAAAAGCTATCTAGTCTACACTGCAAACATTAGCATGGTCACACACAGATTTCGATGGCAGTTGCCATCACCATCTGGCTTTTGTTCTTGTCTCGGCCTGGAGACTGGTGCTGTCCAGACTCCTCTCTGGGAGACAAAGGGTCGGAGAGCACACTACGTTTGAGAGGTGCCGGACGCAGGCAGGACGTTCCTGGAGGGGTGGAGGGCTCGGGGTGTCTGTGGGAGGAACGTGATGAAGTGGAGGATGAAGAGGAAGTGCAACTGCCGGTACACACTCCAGAGCTTGACCTCTCACCTCTCTTGGCTCGGCAAGATGCTCTGCGCCTGAGCTCGCTGACAAGCTCGTACTTGACAAAGCAGAAGACGTCCTTGACTCCACAGCGTTTTTCCGGCTCGGAAGCGAGAAGCCTCTGAAACATGCGCAAGGCGTCATCAGTGAAGCGACGCCATTGAGATGGGTAGGTTCCCACAGGACACCCTGCCTTCTGCCAGCGCCGAAACTCCTCATAGAAAGCATCGGCTGGCAGCGCTGCCTCCCAGGGGAAATTGCCTGTCAGCATACAGAAGACCAGCACACCGAATGCCCACACATCCAGACTGGTGGACACAAGGAAACCCTCAGCACGGCTAGCACGGCAAACCTCTGGTGCCGTATAGGGGATGGTGCCACTCACCCGTTTAACACGGCAGCCCACGCGTCGTGTCATACCAAAGTCGGCCAGCTTGATGCGACGGCACTCACGGTCAAATAGGAGCACATTCTCAGGTTTCACATCCCGATGCACTAGGTTTTTACTATGCATAAAGTCCAGGGCTAGTCCCAGTTGTTGCATGCAGCGTTTGACCATTTCCTCTGGCAGACCCACCTGAGAAGTAGAGAGAGTAGAGGGTAGTGTCGGGAGACAGAAAGAGAGAAAAATAGATTTTGATTAATGCAGTCTAATAGATGCAGTACATTGTGTAGGAGGTGAGACTATGGGAGGTGATACAAGAAAAGAGCTTTGTGGAGAGTAGATTACAGTGCTGTTATAAAGAATAGGTGATGGTTATACTGAGTAGAGGAAAAAAAGTACAGGGTGGAAAGTGATACGCTCCAAAACAGAAAAACTGAAACAAAAGTGTCTTGAAATCAAGCACTCCCAGCACATAAACTGGAATAGCACTAAAGCAAAGTGAGAGCTCCATGTAGAGAGAGAAAACCGGGACGAAGACAAGGCTCCAATCCCAGGAGAGCTTGTTAAAACCGCCTTATCTGACGACTGATTGGAGCAGCTCTGGCTGAGTGAGGATGGTGATTGGTGGAAGGAAGGATGATAGCTTTACCTGTGGGGGGATGATGTCGAAAAGGTCCCCGGCGGGGGCATATTCTTGTCCAAACACATAGCTGTCTTCTGTCTCAAAAAGTACGTCCAGGACTTTGATAATGAAAGGGCTGCAGCTAAGTGAGCCCGTTAGACTGTATTCCCGCAGGAAACTCTTGAGCTTCGTCTTGTTCTTGGTCACAAACTTCAGCGCCATTTTGGTGCCTGTAAAAATCAGACATAAACATGTAGAACACATGGATGGACACAGTTAAGCCTAGGTGTGTCAGATTAGTAACTTTTTACTGTCCAAAACACACCATCCAAAGCACTCAAAGTGAATTCTGTAACCTGATAGTCTAAGGGCGTGGAGAGATTTCCAACTACCCAACCCTGTCTTTGTAACAGCTGCTACATTCATTCATATAAACAGTAACAGTAAATGAATCTCAACTCCATTACACGCATATAACCAGTTGTTCGTGATCACAGCTGCAGAAATACACAGGCTCTTTAGTGAGCACACAGCACTTCTAATCTCTGCTGCCCTCTCAGCCTCTCTCTCTGCACTACTTTACCATGCTGAGTTATACCGCTTTCAGACTGAGCCAGCTCTCTAACCTTGATTTTCTTACAACCAAGGATTAAACAGTAGGCCTTAAAAAAAAAATCCTTAGCAAACCTTTTTAACTGTGCTGAAATTAATTTCTCTGCACTGTGCCTTGAGACTTTATAACACGCTGACATCTGCCTTAACTGGTTATCCTCAACTGTGAGGCATTCTGGCACAATGTGGATTTAGAGATATGAGGTTCTTTTTTTGTATTTATGCTTTATTAGATAGTTGACAGTCAAGATAAACGAATAAAACAGGATTAGAGGATAAAGATCTTCAGCCGCAGTTTTAATCCCTGATGCCCCAACTAACTCACCCTGTGTACGATGTGCCACCAGGTCCACCTTGCCATACGTGCCCTTCCCAAGCTCACGTATGTGCTCATATTGTTTGGCTACATCTGCTGCAGACAGAGAGGTGATGGCCAGCGCCTGCATGTCCTCCACAGGCACCCCTCCGCAGTAGCCCATCTTGGATGTAGGGGAGCCCCCACCGCTGCCCACCCGTCCGGGCCCAGATGGAGAAAGAGACAGGCTCGCCTTGACGCTGTGGGGCAGACTAAATGAAGAGGAGAGAAAACTGCTTAGAGCCAGGTTTTTTCTGCTGTGATGATGGCAGACAATATAAATTTTATTCAGGTATGTGTTTATGACAGAGTGCTCTTCAGTATCTTTATGTTTGTTGGCGCACATCCATATATTCTTGTCTGTACATCATGTCTCAAAGGGTGGTTAAATCAGGAAGGCTTTAACAGACCTTCATTTCCATACAATCAGTTCAAGGAAGGGATCGACAGGGGAAGTGCTTTCAGTAAATGTATTGGACTTCCTGCTGTCTCTCTAGATCACTCTGGCCAGCTTTCAGATATGGCTGGACTCAGACAGCACTTACTGGCAGACAGCTATGGGAAAATCAATATGGCCAGGTAGAAGGACTAACAAATGGAAACAAATGGAGAAAGCTGACAGCGTCAAGGTGTATACATGCTAGTAAGGTATACTATAGATCATCTGTGAGCACTCTGAAGTGTTTGTACAAATACATACAGTAGAAACAATCAGTGGGGCTGTGAGAAAGGGGGTAGCTTAGTTTTGTCTGAAAAACACATTTGGTTTGCACAAGCATTTCGGTCAAATTGCTGAAGCCGAAAGAAAAAAAGAAAATACTGCAACAGAAAAGTTATTGCTGATTTTCAGAAGTGCCAACTTTCAAATAGGTCAAACTGATCCTAGCAGGGAAAAATATAGCTGCTTTAATTGCAAGCTCAGATGGAGTCAGACACCCTAAATGTGCCAACTGACAACAAATTAAAAATCCGAGATGAGTGACTGTGGATGTTAGCGCCTGTTACAGTGTTTGAACAATCACTAAGTAAAACGAAGGAAAAGTCTATTGAACAAACTGCACAAAATGGACCTTTTGAGCAAATGAAGTGGATCACACTAATGATCGTACCCATTGTCTCTGTCTCTCTTCAATCCCCCCTCCTTACACACACAATCAAATTTAATCATCCAATCATGCACAGCACGCACACACGTATGCACGCTAATAGGCATCAAATCAGCGCAAACAATTTCGCTGATGGCCTTTTTCATCCATCATTCAAAGGCAACTGCTTTGCTCTTTGTTCTCCTCTCCCTGTAGCCAGTTTCTCAGTACCACTGATTTAAACGAAAGCATCACTGAGAGCATCACAAATGTTTGTGTCGACTGTCAGGTGCACTTCGGGGGGGGGATATGAGCTGAATTAATGCTCGGTAGCTAATGTACAGTTGATTAAAACATGGCAGAGGAAGTTTTGTTCAGACGCTCTGAAGGTGTTGAGGTTCCTCAGCTATCTTGTGGAAAGAGTGTGATAAATATAGCTATTAGACAGCGAAAACTAAAATAGGATGCAACCGTTTGCAGCCTTGTGTTCTTGGCTCATCACTCTTTGTCGAAGAAAATACTGCAAATAGAAAGAGTGCCCTGTATGTATCTCTGTAGATCACACTTGCTTCTTGATTTTATCATATGCAGAGATAGTTATATAAGAGACTATGAATATTGTAGCCTACTCATGCTGAGCGTGCCCACTGTATAGCCTTGAGCGAGTCAACAAAAAAGTTGATCATTATCCAGATCAGTCTGTGGTCCAGGTTTGGTGATTAAACATTAAAACAGGACAGACAGACAGACTGGAAGCACATTTCCTTTGACCGCCCACCCTGCATGGCCCCATAGCCTCAATCAGCAAGGACGAAGCAAAGAGAAGAGAGCGCTTGTTTACTGGCACTTCTTCCAGTCAGCTCCACGGGCAGAATGTGCAGCACTCCAGCATGGATCTTAATCACATTACTCAGCTCCCACCAAGACAAAAGCCCACCCCACCCAACAGCGCAGGATGCTTTGCACTCATTTCCTTTGCAGAACTGGATTAAGAGCCCTGAAATGTGATGAGTGGTTGGGAGACGGTGCTCTCCGCAGCTGTGATGACGCTGTAAATGTGAACCAGAAACTGCAGTGTAGAGCCCTGGAGGTGTGGGGATGAAGTTATGTGGTCTCTGGGAGGTGATTGTTTGCGAGTGTTTGGGAGGGGGGGCCGGGAGGTCTGGTGTATCAGTCACACAGTGACAGTCTATCAAAGGCCCTTTGTGTTCCTACCTCTGAGAGGGCGCAGCTGTGAGTCTCAGCACGACTGAGCGTTCGACCACAGCCACATGCCCCACTGATCTCCCATGCTGCCCTCTGCTCTTCTCCTGTCCTCTCAGGCAGCTGAAGACAAGGTAACTGCCACACGCTCCACATACAGATGAGGATTTGACTTGATACACATTTTAATGGGTTTTTGAGTCCATCCCACTCATTGTTAATCATCTGTAAGCGTTTTAAAACAGATTCCTGGACTGTTCACTTTTTCCTGTATTGTTGAGGTTGAGACCTTGTAACTTCAGTATGTGTGATTTTCATGTTTAATTGTGATAAAAAAAAATCCTCTGGCATTTGAGTGTCAGAAACTTCTCAATAAATAAACTCAAAAATGCACAATCTGAAAACAAGGCCAGTCTGAAAATAAAGCCTGTTTTTCTAAATTCCTAAGAAGTGGACAGACAAGGTTTTCTTTCGTTCAGCAGCAACAATCTGTTTCCGAGCCACTAATTTCCCCTCAAATACAGATTGACAATCCCACTCCATTTAGCAATTACTCTAACAGAGCTGAGTGCATTCACAGTACAACACTCTTAAAAAACAGGTTGTTCCCAGAAAAAGGCAAAACATCCAGTTTTATGTCCGAATAGGCACATCAACCGTCTGGAAACCTGTGTCTGACTCCACGTGTGACACACATGAGACTAAATTGCAGAAGCAGTTGACCTTTTCTCCAATAAACATTTAACTGGAGATGAGAACAGAGATGAACCCTGTGATGCCACTGTCAACTGTTCCTTTTGTCACAGACTGTCTCTTTAAAGCCTCAGGGTGTGCTCTTGACATGTACGCTGTCCAGTGTGCTCATAGCCTCTAAACTCTGAATGTTACCCTTGTGAGTGTAGGTCTTACTGTGAACTTTATGGGGCACATTTTCACTAAAGAAGCCTGGTCAAGTTTCAACCTATTTTCAGCCATGCTAGTGTGACTCTAGGGATGGTGGTGTTTGTATGAAAATTTGTCCACCACTTTGATCCAGACTAAAATATCTCCAGAACTATTGGATGTAAATGTTGTGCTATAGCTTTTGGAAATTTTGTGCTGACATTCTTGATCTCAAGATGATGAATCCTACTGACTACAGTGATCCCCTGACTTTTCCTCTAGCACATGTTTGGATAGGTTGCCATGAAAAATGTGGTACACATTCATGTTCACCTGTCTTCAGGATAAACTGTGGTTATCCCTTAACCTTTCATCTAGCACCATCATTGAGTCAGAACTTGAATTTGTCTAATACTTTAACTAATTACCCATCATCCATCCCATCAGCAGCTGTACGTTAAGATTTGTGCTAATTTGCAAATGTTAGCATGGTAACACGCTGAACTAAGGTTCTGAGCATGGTAAACATTATACCTGCTTAACATCAGCAGATGCAGATGTTAGCATTTACGCATTTAATCTATGGTATTGTCATGTGATCTCATCAGGGCCAATAACTGTGTATTCACTGAGCTATTGTTTCACCCAGTTTAAACTATGTGAGCGATACAGCTGCAATGAACTGTGACATGACATTGATAAGCGCAGCACAAAGACTTCATTGAGGTGAGGTTCAAGCATGAATACAGATTCCCATATGGGAGATGAGCTAAATAGTAGTTGTGTAAAAGATGGGCAATAGAACTGGTGTTGCACCTTCATCTATAATAAATGTGTTTTAATGTACATCAAGCATCTATATAAAGTGTGAGGGATTATCAGAGTCAGCAGTTTTACACACAGTGTTTGCCCCTCTTTAGTCTAGCCGTCCTTCTTCCTCTCCTCTTTCTCTCTTGTCTGTTCCAGAAAATGTAAACAAGGGACTAATGAAAGAAATAAATAGATTGCAGAGCCTGCCTTGCGTCTCTACCTCTCTCCGTTACTAATGGACTAGTTGCTTTGCTGTCGGCAGAAGAGTCATTATGGGTGAAGACTGATCTCCTGTGTCCAATTTACTGTCAAAATGCCCAACGTGCCGTGCCTCTGGGTCAAAGGGAAAACTGCGAGTGAAATACGATGTGACTGATGTGGTTTCTCTTACTGTCTGTCTGGAAATAAAACAACTGCATGCATAGCCAAACACATATAGATGGTATTTTTCTGTCTGTGTCCCTCTCCTTGTTGTCTCAGTGTGGTAGCGCAGAATGAAAACAAATCACTGCAATCCTAAGCAATCTATCACTCGATCAAAAACCAAAATGGACTTCCCTGAGACACCTAGTTGCAGTCAGGACACTCAGGCATGAAAAAAATAGAATCACCTTCCTCAGCAGAGCACAGAACATCAGAGCCAGTGAGTTGGTGGGTTTAGCCAGCGCCTCCTTCAACACACGGCTGGAGAAACCTCCCACTGTGCTGTGATAGGTGAACCAGCGGCCTAGGCCACGGACACTCACTTTGACAAATCACCTGCTCTCAGCTTTGCCTGGCTGCCCATATGGAGGATCCCTGCTGGGGCCGAGTGCTGAGTGCCGTCCCTGACTTGCCTCGTCTCTACTCTCCTTCCCATCACCCCTCTCTCTCTTTCTACTGTATGTTACACACGCCATGGAGCTACTGCCTGCTGAAAGCTCCCAGCCAGAAACACTGGCGGGCATTGGCCTCCTGCTGGGATAACCCAAGACCCACAAAGAGATAACCCAAGGTTAAAGGGATCCAAACAATGACTGAGAGTGGAAGGACACTGGGTGCAAGGACACTTGGCTCAAGTACTGTATGTTAACCACAAATGAAACAAAAATTAGGCAGAATGATAAGTCAAACACACGCAAAAAAAACAATACAAACAACAAAACATCACAGTAAATCAATATTGTAGTTTAGGATTAAGGCTTTGGGATTAGAAACTGAAGAGCATCTGATTATATATGCCATGTCATCATCACCCTCATTGTAATCATGTCCTGCAAAAAATCTTTTAGCTGTGAAATATCACTGCAATAAGCTACCCAGGGAACATAGTGTACCTAACCCCCCACTCTATCACAACCCAGTAGCCTCAAGTTCCAGTAGGGAGGGACAGAGAGAGAGAGAGCAGGATTGGGGAAATCCAATGAGACTCAAATGAAGCATCCCTCCCCCTTTGTACTACATGCTATAGACTGCGTCCCTTTGATGTCAAATACATGGCGAGATGAGACTCTAATATGAGTTCAGAAAATGGGGTCTAAAAGGAGGTGTGGCTAAATGATGTAACAGCACAGCGCTGAGGAGGACATGGCAAAGTAACAGTATATGGTGATTGGTGATCCTGCTCATACACAATAGCCTCTAACCACAATCAATGCACTAATGTTGATTGCTAGGATCTCTCTCTCTCTCTCTCT